GGTGAATATGTTATGTACACCTTGCTTCAATAGGAGAGGTCTGATCAATAGCAAGTGTACTGAAATTCCTTTATAATGATGTCTGAATTCTCTCCAATGCTGTCCATAGTTGTCTTTCTTGGATATGACCCATCTCTGGCATACATAAACCCATTTCACAATAACTGGAGCTATGCTAAAGCTGCCATTTGTAAGAACTTTCTTTGTGGCAGACATATATTATTGGGCTCTTTAACTATCTTATGTTTTTGTTTTCAATGCTCATAAGAACCCCATAGAGCAGATTTTGAAACTTCGGCTCACAAGGAGTGAGAAACTTGCCTAAGAATTCATGCAAATAAATGCTTCAGAGAACCGGGCCGCAGTCCCTTTCTGTTGGACTCCAGAGCCTCAATTCTTTCCGACATGCTCTGTGGCCATTCTTATCAGTCACTGAGGGAATCGTTATGAGGCCCCTCAATCAGACCAAAATCCATCTCCTCCTCATCAAGAAAGATGTCGCACTTTATAAGCTCAATATGCGAATTCCAATGGTAAGCATTTAAGAAAATTACTTGAAATAGTCATTGAATCTATTCTTTAGAACTAGAAAAATACTCTCTTTAGGAAGAGTATGCTATATTTTGAAATTACTACTTTAATGCTTTCAGTAGTCCTCTTGTGGCCCTGAAAAGTTCATATATATTCCAGAATTTGCCAAATATTGTGATCGTACAGCCCATTCCAACCCATGTTCCATGACCCTTGCCTCCTGCTCTCTGGACACACAGGGGTGCACAGTGTATGATATATCCCAGCACCAGCAATATGATGAGACTCTCCTGTGTGTAGGACCAGTGAGTAGCTTAAGATCAGGGAGAATCTGGTTATGTAGCGATGATATAATTTTAAGTTTTTTAATCATTTGGATCCTGCAGACTGGCTATATTTTTGAGCAGATCACTTTGCATGTTTATTTGCAATTTACCTTTCTTTAACATGGTGAAGATCCAAGATAACATTAAAAGTATTAGCTTGAATTTCATACCATGATTCCTAAATATTTTCTCTCCATTTGTGTAGATGGTCAACATTGACTTTTATCAATCCTTGGGGAAAAGGGAAGCTGTATGGCTCAGACTGCTGGTAAAAGTCTGATCTCTAGACTGGGAAGGGTAAGAGGGTGATAAGAAAGATGATACCATCTTGAAGGTCCACACCTGTTCTCCGGCATTCAGCATAGATCCTTAGAGGGTATGGATTGACTCATTGGGGGTCCCTAACTCAGCTTAAAAACAGAACAACAACAAAAACCTTGTTCTGTGTCTCATGGGGTAGGCAAGGGTATTGGGTAGGATAATTGATCTTTGGCCGCAAGAGAGTTGGAAAACGAAAGAACCTTTCAACTCCTGGCCTCACTGAGACTTCCAGGAGAAACATGAGCCCAAGTCAGAAAAGAACCCCGAGTCAGTAGACAAGCGCAGAAGGCCCACTGTGTCACCTTCTCTGACTACTCAGCTGCGGGTCTCATCACCAATGTTCCTGTTTCTATGACCAGAGTACCCTCCCAGGCCTTCTATGCCCACTTGTGTAATTAGGCCCTTGGCTAGCCATAGGCCATGAGATCTGATATGGAACCAAGGCTTCCACCAAGTCCTTAGCTGACATTCTACCTGCATGGGGATTAGGTTCCAACAACTTCTGAGAGCCAAGAGGACCCAAACCCTCTGGGACCTCTGTCACTATAGAATGGTAGGTGCAAGCCATTTTAAGGGGACAGACCAATGGCCAGAGAAGGGCACCAAACTTCTCTGCCCCATCCGTCTTCCGGCTGCTCAAGCCTTTACATCTCTCACAGGATATTTTTTGCTTCCTGACATGTTGAGAGATGAACGTTACATACCATGTCGTCAACTGACCATTGCAAAATTTCGAGAATACAAGATGTGTATTCAAGCCCATGGAATAACACTGGGGTATTCACAAACTTTGTGCCTTTAAAGAGTCGTTTTAGCATTCCTTCACTCATGTATGCATTCATTTAGTGACTCATTTGTTAATTCATTCAACAAACACTGAATGCTGATTCTAACCAGGCAGCTTCACAGAAAATAAGGGGAAATATTGAATCATATCCTATTTAATACATTCCTCCCAAAACTGCAAATTGTCTCTAATATATAACTTACTGTTAAGTCAAACATTTCTATTAAGTTTTTAAAAATCAAAATAAAGATGGCATGCCATAGAAATCATTGTTGAGGAATTAGAGGAATTAGTCTGTCACTGAAGTTTTTATAGATTATGTGACATTTTGACATTTATACAACTGCCATGATACTTTTATATGGCATCAGTTACACTGTAATACTAGTAGGCTTATGGAATACCATGACTTTGAACGTAAAGAACAGAAACTATTAGGTAACCTTATGTTGTTAAAATTCTTGATCCATATAACTACCTATTACTGGTTAAGTTGTGGAATCTGTGGTCTTGGTGTATAAATGCATGGATTAAATAACATTAATGTGTGATTACATGAAGGCAAACCATATAGCTTAGTTAAATTGCAGCATAATTGTTATCACTGAATGTAAAGTGATACCAATTAAACCTTCCTTTAGAACACCACAAATTAAGATGTAACTACTAGAAAAATTCTAGAATGCAATCTTATGATATACCATGCGTAGAATATCCATGGATTTTTCAGAGGTTTAATGACATTTATAAAACATCTTTCTCCTTTATTGCTGGCATTAATTGTGCCTTATCCAGGGAAGTTTCAAAGAGACACCAATTAACTTTTTAAAATATATGTATCAACGAGGTCAGTCTTTAAAATATTGACAAAAAGACAAATTATAATTTCTTGTGCTCATATAGAGTAAATATTTTAGTAGGGTGGCATTGGGGTGGAATTTGGGACAAGAAAAGATCTGATATTAATCTTAATACCAATTCTTAAATTATGAAATTTTGTTCATCAGAAACAGTTGAGTATTGGCAACTTTATATCATTCTACATAATAAAATATTAGCAATTAAAATACTTATGTAAGTATTACAGCATAAAAATGCCTTCCTACTTCATACATTTATCCCTCATATGCACTGGGCTGAATATTTATCAGCCTAGTGCAAAGTATTTAATTTCTGAGTCTCAATTTTCTCTTCAGGAAATCAGGGTAATAATAGCTACACAAAGGATTGTTGTAAGGATTAAATGAAAACATCATCAATGACTCAATACAGTGCTTTATATTAAATCAACATTAATAAACATGTTTCCTCTCTCCTCCACGCCCCCCCCAATTTCACATCTTTTATGCTTCTTATATGAATATTTGTACCAGAACTGATGGTTTATACCTATAAGACACAAGGTCTAAAATAGATGACTTAGTGAGAATTTAATCAAACTTATAATTTTGACACAGAGCACTAATATGTTTTTCAGGTGAGAGAAATGTACTATAAAGAGGAAAATTTGGTTAAGTAATGATTGAACTTTTAGAGCTGGTGATTTTGTTTGTGTTTTTAGCAGAACTTTAGTGATTTCAGAGACATGATCTGCAGATGAATCAAACCTTTCCTTCATATACCCCCAGCCTGTAACCTACACGTGCCTGTGTGACCAGGTCTCAATTCCAGATGTTCCAAGTAGCTCTTCATTTCATCATGTCTTCTGACAGCACCTAAGCAAATATATCAAAAGTTGTACAACATTTAGCAAGTGCAACTTGAAGATTTTCTTTCTGTTAGACAAATAGACGCCATCTGGAAAAAATAACCCCAGGCTCTTGGACACAGGAGCATGAAGCGTATTGGCTGAACACCCAATGAATACCTTACACTACTTTCTTTGGCTCCTGCCCTCTGCCTGCTCATTTCAAATCTTGCACACTTCAGCAGGCGCTGTGCTGTGAGACAAACGAGTCCTTGTTACCCAGGCACTCAAACACTGTGAAGACTCGCTTAATTTGAAAGACAGGCTTTGCAAAAAATTATCTGGACCAAAATTGTTTCCTTTCATACCAGGATACCTGCTCAATATCACTGTGTCTTGACGTTAATTGATAGCAATATTTTATTATTCAGTTCTTTCTCAGATTTTCAGTATTTGCCATGTTCCATTTTTAGGCAGGGGTTTCTTCATGTCATCTTTCCTTCCTTTTTTGCTCCCTCCCTTCCTCTTTTTCTAAAGTTACTTTCTACGTGAAAAAGTTATTTATTTCACTGATTGACTTTTATTTCTAAATTAGTATTGTAAGAAATTTGTGTTAATTTTGCCTTTCAGAATTGGCTGGACTGAATTTAAGTGACTGCAATATTATTTATGAAAACTAAACATTAACTTTTATAAATTAAATAAATTGAATAGTCAGAAATAAAAAGAGCTAACTTCATGTTTACTTTAATGATATAATTCTTGTGATAAAAATAGTTTTTAGTGAAATTTTTTTCATATCTCAAACTTTCTATGCAACCACACTTATGCCACATTGCTTAAGTTGTTTCCTTACTAATTACTTGCCTTTTGCCAGTTGTGAGCATGTAGCTTTTCAAAACCCAAAAGCAAATTGCCCCAGAACCTCTGGAATTCATTTTATTACATCTCGTGATCTGAGCAGTAGGGAGTCCTATGAAACATGTTGGATCAAACATTAACTTTATAAATTGCCTTCCTTCCCCACAATTCTTATGAAAAAGGTATTAAGCGAGATTAAAACTCTGGAAACATTTAATGGGACTTCGGAAATCTGTTTGTGTTCAGTTTCTTGAAAAATAAAACTGTCTAATGGAAGCATTCCTTGTATGAGAAGTGGATGTGCCTTTGAGGCAATTTTCTTCCGTGTATAATAGTGAAACTGCAGCAGGATCATCTGAGTGTTTGAAATGTCTTTGCCGAATCCATAATGCTGCCAGTAATAATATCTGAAGGGGGTGTGTGAGTTTGTTCATAATGAGAAAAAGGAAGTAATGATTGGCAGTAATATCACTCTGTGTCTTTGCAGTCCTATCCTGGTCCGAGCCTGGAAAGTGAGGACTTCAACATCCCACCAATCACTCCTCCTTCCCTCCCCGACCACTCGCTGGTGCACCTGAATGAAGTTGAAACTGGTTACCACTCTCTGTGTCACCCAATGAACCATAATGGCCTGCTACCATTTCATCCACAAAACATGGACCTACCTGAAATCACCGTGTCCAACATGCTGGGACAGGACGGAGCACTGCTTACCAACTCCATTTCCGTGGTAAGAACCTGTTTACCCATTTGTGTGTGTGTGTGGGGGGGGGCAAGGGACATGGTGGGGGCAAGGTGGAATTTAATGCGAGAAGCTCTGCACTGTAATAACGCGGCATTCTGAAACTAGAAATAGGTTTAAAGCTACGGAAGATGTTCTCCAGAAGTCCTGTGAAATCCTGAAGCACTTTTCCATTTTAGATTTAAGTCTAGGCAAAATCAATTCATGACATGTTTGATTATGCATATTTATAACCCAAAGTACTAAATACTCTTTGACACCAACTGTTCTCTTATAAAGTCTAACCATCTTACCGGCTTTCAGATAAAAAGTTATCTTAAAAGGTGCTACCTCTCATCCAGTGCAGGATTCCTCCCCTGAGCAGGGCTTCCCATCTGAACAGGAACTGCTATTAAACTTCCTTTCTACCCTATTTTCCATGCTCACATTCCACAAATTTATATAATAAGGAAGCAACAGAAGTATTTTCATTTTTATTTTGGAGGTATAATTCTTACAATCAAAATGTATCCCCATCGATGTGTTTCAGTGTATTGGACCTGTTGGATTCAGGATCTTCTAATGTTCTATGTTTCTCAAATTTAGTGGGAATGGGTATCATCCAGCAAACTAGCACAGATTAAATTCCCAGAGTCCCGGGATCTGTATTTTTGATGAACATCCCTGACTTTATCATATAATCCTTCCTTCTGATTTTTATGGCATATAAAACTTAATTTCTCTGTCTATATCACAAGTGCTGAAAAATCTTTTCAGTGGCATATGGCTAAGGGCAGAGCTTTTTACCACATCATAAAACTCTCTCCAGGGTTAACAATGACTTTGAGTTAGCGTTCTTTCGTTTCCGTTCTTCAATCACTTACCAGTCTAACTAACTCTATTGTATTTTTGCAAATCGCTGAACAATGCTGTCATATTCACAATGAACACATTTATTAACTTCTTCATATTATGTTGTTTCTGATTTTAAAAAAATGTTTCATATGATCAACTTACCTAAGTCATTTGGAGATATATCAACTTGAATGATTTCACAAGAAGGTTTTCCTGTGTGTGAAGTAGAGTTGAAAGAAACCCCACAGAGGTGTTTTTAGGGAATGGAGCCCAGAGTCTAATGCCATAATAGTGTAAGATTTCTAAGGACGGGCAGGTAGCTGGTTGGCCAAGAGGGGAGAACCCACCCGCAGTACTAGCAGTGGTGGGAAACTCAGCTCTATTGTCCCAGTGTTTCATGTTATATTTGCCTGTCTAGATTTACCTTGAGACTATTAACTATGACTTAATAAAGTAGAGAATGGATTTTTAACAAACATACTAAATGTGTAAGTCTGAATAATGTACTTCAAAGCAGTCACCTTGAACAATCACAGGCTATTCTTTGGGGCTAAGTCTTCAGACCCAGTTCATGAGTCAGTAGGCACCCAGATCATGCCTTTATAGGAACCCACATTCACTGAAGAGAAGAAGAGTGCATACAGTGTATAAAATATCAGTTTTGTCCGCTGTGCTCCTTCCTCATAGTGCTAATGAAGTTGGCCGTAGGAGGGATAATATGATATTCAAACGTATAGTTTAAGTGCCCAAACTTTTCCTTTCTATAACTTACCTACTTAGCATTCCTAGGACCTTCTCCATACACCATTTACTCTTTAAGAGATGCTTGCACAGCTTTAGTAAATATGCATCTGGGATTGTCCCAGATTTGCCATCTTTGGCAATCACTCCATTCTCAAATGGTGCTCAGGACTGGAGCTAGTCACACCTGTGAAAGACACCACTTTCCAGACCCTTCCTCCACTATGCTTTCCTCTTATTAAACTCTCAGGAGCTTCAGCTCATCCAACATTTCTTTATGCTGTCCCCACCCAACCGAATGCTCAAAACTGAGCTTAGGTATTTTCCCTTAGGCATGGTATTTCCCTTGGAACATTTAACATAAGGCAGAGGGGCCCTGATTGGCCTATACTAAGGGGATGAAGCTCTAACCTGCTGTTGCAGTTCTTGGCCAGGAGAACCTAGCAAGGGTTGTGAGCCTTCCCAATACCTCCCAGGCCACATTGTGAGGTGGGCATCTACTTTGCCTACTCACAGAATTGATCCTAGCACTTTATACTGTAATTGCAAAGCTACTCCAACAAATAATCCAGGTCTTGGTGAGAGTTCAGATAGGCTTCAGCACTGTCCAGAAGAGCTTTCTGTGCTAATGGCTTTTCTATTATCCATACTTTCCAATAACAGTAGCCATTGGCTACTGAGTGTTCTAAATGTGGCTAGTGTGTGTGAATGAAAGGCTAATTTTTATTTTATTATATTTTAATTATTTTTAAAGTAGCCACATGTGCCCTATATAACTACTATATTGAACAGCATACGTCTAGTTAATAATGTTGATTCTAACATTAAATTTTCATTAAACCCAATTTTTTTAAGCCAGAGTGGTCTTGGAGAAAGATTTGGAGTTTAAACCTATTGTAAAAACCCTGTTTCAAGGCTTTGATCTCTGGCTGGATTCCAGGAGCCCGAGTTTGATACACTATAAAGTTGCAATAGAATTCTAGTAAAGTTGGAAGGGTCAACTTGATTGGAGTCTACTCTTTCCTTTGAGAAACAAGGAGCCTCTTCCCTTCCTATTTTGAGCTGTCATGTATCCAGAAGGCCATTCATCAGTGTACATTTTAAGTCTTACCAAGGTCTGAATGCTTAAAAGGGCTCAAGGGATCGATAAGGCATGGTCACTGTTCTTAGGAGCTTATAAACTACAGAAAAAAATATACATGAACAGGTAGGAAACAATTAGAGTGAGACATGAAGTAATTAGAGAGAGACCAAGCAAAGTGCTCAATTCATTTTATTGGACGTGAACCCCATAGGAGTGTCTAGTTGGAAGAGATTACCCCAGTGGTTCTCAACCTTCCTAATGCCGCGACCCTTTAATACAGTTCCTCATGTTGTGGTGACCCCCAATTTCATTGTTACAAATTGAACATAATTAAAGCATAGTGATTAATCACAAAAACAATATGTAATTACATATGTGTTTTCTGATGGTCTTAGGCGACCCCTGTGAAAGGGTCATTCGACCCCCAAAGGGGTCACGACCCACAGGTTGAGAACCACTGGATTACAGTAATCTGGTTTGGGAGTTTACAAAACTTAGTGGAAAAGATAGGACTGTAGTCAGGGTTTAAAAGATGGTTTTGATTTGGACAAGAGACAAAAAAACGCATATTGGAAAGCAGGTTAGATATTTTAAGTTGAGAGTTTTGACCAAAGACTTCAAAAACCAATCAGAGGTCTGTGGGCTTGATATGATGGATTCTAAAAACTCACTGGCTGTTTTCAGTCAGGGCGGTGTTGTCGGAAAACATTTTTGGCGCCTCCCTGGATGGATAGCAGTGGTAAGAAACTGCAGGTGTGGAAAGTCTGAGGAGCCTGTTGTCATAGCCAGGCCGGAGGTGTTGAGGAGGTGCACAGAGTGGTGACAGTGTGAAAAGAAAGATGGGCTGCTAAGCTGTTTTCACGTCATTCCCAACTCTATATGGATCTAAAGATGAATAACCTGTCATATCATCGTATTTTACATTTAAAAGGCACTGAGGGATTATTTTCTTTGAAAAGAAATTTAGGACTATAAAATGTTCTCTTCGCACTTCTTTGTAACATCTGGCCAAAACTCTTTCTGTAGCAATTTGTTCATTGCTAATGTGATCACAGAATTTAACAACCAACTATTGATCTGTTTGCCAATTGTTGAAATATATGAATAGTGCACAATTTAGGTCAGTGCTCATAGAGACAAGGAAATAATGGCTACAGAAATCAGGATGCAAATGCTGCCCACCTAGAAATTATAGTGCTTTTCCTGAGTTCCTCTCCCAAGGCCACCTACAACATGGGAACAACGAGGAAAGCTAACACTTGCAGATCCTATGTAATGAACTTGCTGTAAGTTTTAAAATCCAGTGAATATAAACCACCTTAAGCGGAGATGCAGATATATATATGAGCAACTCTTTCCAATGTTATTTTCCAAAAGCTCTTCAGTGTTATTAAAGCTGAACTATTTGCTGTTAGTATGGTGCTTGCATCTTTGAGTTAGTATTTTCATATAGGTGGGTCAAATATTGTAGTTCTCACTTAGATATTCTATATATTTTAGAGGTTATTATAATGTTTAACATATATGCATCATTATATGTCCTATATGCTATTACTTTTATAATGTAATTATATATATAATATAATCTTTTCTGTGATTTTATTTTAAAGATAAATTATTATATATAATGTTTTCTTCTGAGATTTTGTTTTAAAGATAAATTTCTTGCCCTTGCCCCCAGTGGTAATATAAGTGATTCAATTTCACTTAGTTTAAGCATTTTCTACAAATGTTTAATATACTAGACATAAAAACGTATTCTGTATGAGAAATCAATATCTGAATGAGTATTATTACCCCAGTTTCACCAATGGAAAATGGAGGATCACAGTGATTAAGTGACTTACTCAGTGGCTCCGCCAGCAAATACCCCAGCTCCCTTGTCTGAAACAAGGATAATAATAATCCTTACCTCGTGGGGGTAAATGAGTCAGAATTGCTTAGACTAGTAGTTGCACATAGGAAATATTATATAAGTTTGTTAAATAAAATATGAAAGGCAAGCTTGTATGACTCTCTTAGAGAAGTTAAAATGCATGAGAGGGAAGATTTTCCAAAAGAGTTATTTATACTTTAATCTTCAATCTTCTTCAGACCTATCAAAAAAAAAAAAAAAAAAAA